ATTTGTGTGTGTGTGTGTGTGTGTGTCCATGTATGAATGTGGGCATGTCCATACCACAGCTCACGTGGGGTCAGAGGACAAGCTTGAATATAGGTTCTTTCCTTCCACTTTGTTTGAGACAGTGTCTCTTGTTCACCACTGCATAGCCAGGCCCAGAAGTTTCTGGGGACTCTCCTGTCTCCCCTTCCCATCTAGCCATAGGAGTGTTCAGATTATAGATGTGTGCTATTGCATCTGGCTCTATGAGAGTTCTAAGGATTTGAACTCAGGCCCTGACTCCTGTATAGCAAGTGCTTTACCCACAGAGTCATCTCCTCAGCCCCCTGTTTTATTTTTTTCAAATTTAAAAATATATTTTATTATTTTTATTTTGTGTGTATGAGTGTATTGCCTGCATGTATGTAGGTGTACCCATATTATGCAATGCCCGAGAAGGTCAGAAGAGGGCTTTGGATATCCTGGAACTGGAGTTACAGACAGTTGTCAGCTGCCATGTGGGTGCTGGGAATAGAATCTGGGTCCTTTGTAAGAGCAGTCAGTTCTCTTAATCGCTGAGCCATTTCTCCAGTCCCTATTTTTCTTTAAATTAAAAAAAATATTTCTTTTTATTTTATGTGTATGAGTGTTTGGCCTGTATATATGCAAGTGTATCATGGAACCAGAAGAGGGCATCAGATTCCTTGGAACTGGAGTTATGGATGGACGATGTTAGCTAACATGTGGGTGCTGGGAACTGAACTCAGATCTTCTACAAGAGCAGCTAGTGCTCTTAACTGTTGAGCCACCTCTCTAGCCCTCTTGTTTTATTTTTTGATATAGGGTAGCCTCAGGGTGGCCTCAAACTCTGTGTAGCTAAGGATGACCTTAAATACCCCGTCCTCCTGCCTCCTAACAAGTGCTGGGATTATAGGCACGTGCCACCATGGCCTATTGAGGCAGTGCTTCTAATACAGAAAACAGAGAAGTCTGAACCTGTGGAATTCAGACTAGAGTTCATTTCTTACTCAGTTCAAGAAAAATTAAGCAGTGGGCCTGACTAGATGGCTCAGTGGGTAAAGGCACTTGCTACCAAGCCCAGTGTTCTAAGTTTGATCCTTGGGAGGACCCACATGGTGGAAGGAGAGAAGGGACTCCTCACTCCTCACAGTGCCATGGCCCTCACACACCCTCATACACTACACACACACACACACACACACATAATAAATAGAAAAAAAGCAAGAAGTAATTTACAGTTTTAGCAAGTGTTCCAGACATTTACAAATAATTTTATATGTTTATAAATAGCTTGATGCCTGTGTTTATAGAATCATTAAATATTTTAAAGGGCCGCTTACTTTTTTAAGTAACATGTTATGGCATTTTATGGGAGAAATTATATG